CTAAACAATCTTAATAAAGATAACTTATCCTGGTCAGCTAGACTCACCTCCTTTAAAATTATGGCATTACCACAAATACTTTACTTTTTCAGATTTCCTTTAAAATGTTTTTCCTCCCTACACTCTATTGTTAAACAATGTATATGGTGCAATAAAAAGCCACACTGCTCCTCTTCTGTATCCAGAAAACATAGAAGGGTTGGTGGCCTAGGATATCCCAACCTAAAAGATGACTAATTTGCGGTTCTGTGGGACCAGCTGAAATAGGGGCTTAACTCTGATATAGATAAAGCATGGTGCACTATTGAAAGATCCCTTTTTCCTAAAGAGAACCCTAGTTTTGTAGTTTGTTATCAAATTTTGCAAACCTAACTTTTATTCCGCCTTGCAACTACCATACAAGCTTCACTGACAGCCTGGAAGTCTCTAATGTCCTCTTTTAGATAACCCAATATCTCCCAAAACATTTCTATCCCCCTTGAGGCTCTAGAATTAATATTTCCACATTCCTTTTTTTCTGAATGGACAGATAGGGGAATCACATTTATTCATGAATAAAAAAACCTTTTCCACCCTCCTGCAAGCAGGGGCGGGCCTAAGGAACAAAGGGCCCTGGTGCAAGATTTTTTTTGGGCCCCCCCCCCCAAAAAAAAGCCCACAAACACAGGGCTCTCCTCCCGCAACGCTCGGCTGGCTGTCACACTTTCTCTCCAACTCGCTGGGACACAGAGCAGCGCCCAGCGGGGAGGAAAGAAAGCAGGGATGCGCCGCTGTATCGACAGAAAAATTGCACTTTCGGCATTTAGCCAAAAGTGCCATTTTCGGCCGATATGTTTTGGCCTCTGATATATCGGTGCATCACTAATATTTACAGCAATGCAGAATGGCACAGGCTACAGAGAATTACACATCCCAGCAATACTTTATATAACAAATGGCAAAAGTACTGCTGAGATTTGTAGTCCTCTATAGAGGGTGTCATTCTGCATTGCTGCAACAGTACTTTATACAACATTAGGCTACAAATAATAATTATTTTAATGATAACCTACCCCTGTAGGTTTAGGAGATATGACTGTGTTCTCCCCCATCTCTCTCATGCCACCTGGACTCTCCCATCACCACGGTCCCCCCAGCCCTCTCAAATCATAGTCCCTTCCCATCTCTGCAGTCCCCCCTTCTCCAATCACATCTCTGCAAACCCTCCTTCTCCAATCACATGTCCGCAGCCCCTCCTTCTCCAATCACATCTCCGCAAATCCTCCTTCTCCTATCACATCTCCGCAAACCCTCCTTCTCCAATCACATCTCCGCAGCCCCTCCTTCCCCAATCACATATCTAAAGACCCCCTTCTCCAATCACATCTCCGAAGCCTCTTCTCCAATCATATCTCCGCAGTCCGCCCTTCTCCAATCACATCTCCGCAGCCCCTCCTTCTCCAATCACATATTTAAAGACCCCCTTCTCCAATCACATCTCCGAAGCCTCTTCTCCAATCATATCTCCGCAGTCCGCCCTTCTCCAATCACATCTCCGCAGCCCCTCCTTCTCCAATCACATATTTAAAGACCCCCTTCTCCAATCACATGTCCTCAGTCCCCCCTTCTCCAATCACATCTCCGCAAACCCCTCCTTCTCCAATCACATCTCCGCAACCCCTCCTTCTCCAATCACATCTCCGCAGCCTCTCTTTCTCCAATCATATCTCCGCAGCCCCCCCTTCTCCAATCACATCTCCGCAGCCCCCTCTTCTCCAATCATATCTCCGCAGTCCACCCTTCTCCAATCACATCTCCGCAGCCCCCTCTTCTCCAATCATATCTCCGCAGTCCACCCTTCTCCAATCACATCTCCGCAGCCCCCTATTCTCCAATCAAATTCCTGCAGCCCCCCCCTTTCCACTTCTCCAATCACATCTCCTCAGTAGTGATGGGCTCGGGCGTGTTCGCAAGCGCCTCTGCAGCTGCGGACCAAGAACATGTCTCAATTTAATTAAATATATATCAGACTAAACCATGGAATAGAAACTGAAATCAGTTTCCTGGAGATTATACAAATGTATATAACAAATATATATTTCTGGGCCCAATAAACAACAACTAATGCTCAGGTATGTGGTATGGTTGTGAACATCAGCAGTAGAAGAATTAGGTTTTGGGCTGTTTTTTGGTGGTGGGTCATGGTAATAACCAGAAATATAAAGTTAGTTTATAAAAATGTTTTTGTTTTTTTTTACTATTTTGGCCCAGTTTTTCTTTGATATTACATAGGAGATATCCATTAACATTTACCACCAAATGAAGGTCTAATTTGTCCTAAAAAAACAAGGTAAAATCAGAGCCGGATTTCCCACAAGGCCACCGAGGCCGGGCCTCAGGGCAGCAGGGAGCAGAGGGGCGGCAGGGGTGTGGAATCTCCCGATGCCCGGGACATGCAATTCCTGGCACCGGGCGGTAAGTTGTTTTCTACATTCAGCCCTGCTTTGGGCAAGCAGGGATAAATGTAGAGTTCCTTGCTGGCCGCCTCTCTCCAGAGATCTTCAGGATGGAGAGCGGGGAGCAGAGTGGAGAACGTCTGTTCTTTGCTCCACGTAAACAATGAGAGGAGAGAGCTACACTCGCAGCTTTCCCCTCTCAGCTGTCACAGGAGTTCCAGCATAGTGCTGGGCTAGAACTCTTGCATTGGAAGTGACAGGTTCTATAAAGAGAAAACAATAAGTAAAAAATAATAAGAAATAATAATTGGAATAGAAAAATAAAAAGGTGATTAAAAGGTAAACAAAAAATTAGTACAAAATAATAAGGTAAACAAATTATTAAAAATATAACAGTAAAAGATGATAAGATAAATAAACAAAAGTTAAAAAAAGTTATAAAAAAGTAAAAAAAAAAAGAAAAAAGAAAAAAAAAAGAAAACTAAATTTGCCACCCCCGACATCTGGTTGCCATTCTCCATTCGGGGACGGGGGGCGCATTGAGGTACCTGGCCTTGGCAGCAGAGAGAGTAAATTTAGCTCTTGCTGCAATACTGCACTTTACCACAATGCAAAGGTAGAAAGCTGGCATTAAAGTGGAAGTAAACTTACAAACAATTGTGAGCAGGCAGAATTTTTATTGGATGAGATCTCTTCTATAAAAAATCAAATGTACCTGCCTGTTCCCAGTCTTCTTCAGAATGTGTACATTCTCACCACACCTCTGTGTTGGGAAGAATGAACACCATTGTGTGTGCATGTGAGAGAGTGCATTCATCCCCTGATGACCAATCAAAATGACCAAAGACCTGACACCCGAGGAGCTCTGGCGGTGGTATGTCTTTCCGCGTCCTCACATCTAAAAACCTGCACAAGACATGATGACATCACGGGTTCTCAGACTGCCAGAGCCCGGGAGAGCATAGGCTGCAGAGACCAGTCCAGCAGCCAGATGTACTGAGGATCAGGTATTTTTTCTTTATTTACAATCCCAGCACATCACACTGTGTACTTTTCTTGTGGTAGTAGATTACTGGAATATCACAAGGGACATTTCAGTTCTATCGGCACAGCATGGGGCGGAGGGGTTGTTTCGCATTGCATACCGCTGTGATGAAGAAAAAAAAAGTACAGCTGCGGTGTGAACGGAGCCCATCCATGATAACGCAAAGTGCCTTGTTTTGGGTTGGGGTAACAACGGCCAGGACAGCCGCATACGGTGCGATTTGGCCTTAATTTTTTTTTTTTTTTGAAGCCCGTGGACGTGCATCTAAACAGACTTCCCCCTGTGAACAAAAAAAGTGAACCGTGAAATCACAGCACACAAAAACGTGCACAAGGGTGCAAGGTCCTTCCAAAGAAGGGACCTACTTCCCGACCCCCCGGGGCGCAAGGCTCCTGACAGGGGTTGAGATACTTTGGACCACCAACCCGAAGGCCGATGGTCCATTTCCTTTGGGGACCTGCTGAAACAAGTCCCCCACAGTACTTGGCAAGGGGGCTCTCCCGAAGAGAGACCCACTTCCTGGGTGGGAGGAGACAGAGAACCCCCTACGAGGCACAGAATCTCCTCCCAGCGTCAGGAATAGGCCCCAAAGAAACCTGCACCTTTCGCATCTGTGGGTCAAATTTTAAAATAAAAAAAGTGCCAAACGTGCATAGAGTGCATAAATAAATCTAAAGTGCCAGTGCACCACTCTGACAGGCCTTAGGGGCTGGAGTGCAAAAATATTGCCCCGGACTAGCCATAAGGCCTGTCTTGGAGGCGAAGTGCAGAAATAAGCAATATGGTGTGTGACTGAGTGCTACAGTGAGTCATGATGGGTCCCATACCCAAGTGACTTTCTGAGCACCCCTGGGACGCCACCCCCAGGGGGCACAACACCACGGGCTTCTGCCGCCCCCGAACCCTCGAGCCAGACCAAGCTTCGCATCCGTTCAGTCAGAAAGCCATGTACTGAGCGGTTCCCCTCTCACGGGAAGCCGCCCCACACGCTCTTTCACTCCAGCGAGTACTAAGTAACCATCCCCCGCAAGGACGGTTCTTTTCCCCACCGAAAACTGATAAGAACAGATACTACACTTGCCTTAATGGTCTATTCACAACATAACATGTGCACTAACATTGCATTGCTTTCGCTGAGATTGCGGCACATGTTTTAATATGCTTGATGTGCTTTGTGTTGCGTTTTTTCCCCTGTGAGGTCACATAATGCATTGTATTTCGCTGACGTGCCTTTGCACAGATTGCGTTGCACAAAAAAAGAGTAGAGCTTTTTTCAGCGCAGCGCTGTACAATAAAATGCGTTGGTGTTAACTGGCCTCATTGAATTGTATTGTACTTTCTTGATCATAATGCGTTAGTAATGCGATTTGTAACGCAGGCTCTGTACGTAGAAGCTCAGCCCCGAACATGGACAGTACAATGTGTTCAGGATGAGCCGAGGAACTCGCACAGCGGCTCCCTCTAGCGGCAGACGGCGGAACTCTTTGTTTTGCTGTGTCCTGTGTAGGGACCCGCAGCCAGGGTTTCTCTGCCGGAGGTAGCGACTAGCTTTTGTGTGTGTGGGGGGTGGAGAAGGGGAGTCGGAGCGTGTTTGGGGTAAGTGAGGGGAGGAGGACGGTGCTGGAGGGTGTCGGGGGGGCTCTGGCTGGACTCGGGGCGGAAGAAGGACAACTTTCCGCACTCACACACACAAACAACGTGTGAGACTCGTCGCTTCCTTGTCCTGTGTGCGCTTCCCCTCCCAGTGCGGGCCTGGGGCGCCCCGTCTGCTACAGGCCCCGGAGAGCCCCCAGCACAACCCCGCCGGATGTAGGCCTACACACAGGCCCGGGGAGAGGCGCTCAGCCCTGCACACGGAACGTAGCATCCCCCTCCATTGTAGAGCGGGCGGCTCGGCCTGAGTCGTGTATGGAGGCCGGCATTAACATGCTGCCCGCTACAGCAATCGGTGACCGGGGATCATAGGGGCCATCGATGTACCATCAGTGACCGGGCATCATACGTCCATGGTCTCCCCGTACAGGAGGCATAGTTCTATTTATTTACACATGGCAGCCTGAGGAATATAGAACTGCTGCTGATATAGCTGCTGATTCCCGAGTCTTACAATCTATATGCAATCAATGTTAGATTTTCCAAAGCTATCAATGTAAGATGAGGACCTTCCTAATCTATGCATTCAATTTGTATCCAATCAGACGGGCCCTTGCACTACATAGTTGTTGGTAGATCTAAAGGTGATTGTACAATTAGATTGTGTTGTGTGTGGTGAGGTTTACTTTATGGGCCTGTGAACACTGTTGCTTTGTACTAAAGGTACATAGAGTGTTACACTGCACAATTGTGAGTGTCCCCAAGTATTGGGGTGCCATTGATTTTAAATGGTAATACATCAGTGTGCATCGTTTTTCTGTGTGCGTCACTGTACGCTCTACACAATGGTGTAAACAGGCCCAAAAAATATTTATGGGCCTTTTTCAGAGAGCTGAACTCTGTGAATTACTCCAAATCTTCCCCTGCAGTGGTGGTCTAGGGGTAGAGGGATAAGCTGTAATACTCACCTTGCTTCCACCATACTGTACAAACACGCCCCAAAGCCTCTTAAAACCGCTCCAGGTTGGCTGTCCTACTCTGACATGTGTATAATGTAGGGCCAATAGTCCTGTGTAGAATCTGAGGATGGTGAGAGATTGTCCACAACCTAGAGTGTCAGGAAGAAGAGGAGAGCACTGGAGTGAGGGATAAGTATTGCAGCATATTCCTCCACCTCTAGACTTAATGAGATTTTAGACTCCATTCACACAGGTTATTAGGAACTCCACTAGCAAGAATCGGGGGATTCTTGATGGTGCAAACAGTGACAGCTGGAGCCAGACTTGTACCCTGTATAAATCAATCTCCAGTGTCACCACTGTTAACATGTTTGAAGAGAGCCTCTGGCCAGCCCTGGATGCAGACAGCGCTTCTAGCCACGCACAAGCTGGCTGCAGTTAATCATCCAGTCTGTATGCAGCCATGCAGTCTACTGCATCCGTAGGTGACGTTTTGGCATATCTGAACACTGCAATCAAGCTGCTTCTAGTGGCACATCTGATTGTAGCTTTTAAGAGGAACTCCAGGAGTTTCAAAAGTTAAGCCTTGAAGTGGGACTACCTTCTCACTGCAAGGGTTACCTGCTCATTCTGGTCAAGGGATGCAAATAAAGAAATTATACTTACTTGTTCCTCCACCCTGCCTGGCTGACCGGTCCCTGAAGCCTCTTCTCCCCTGGGCTGACGTCATTATGTCTATGCAAGGTCCATACAGTTGCATTAGAAGGGAGGATGTAAAGGGACATACCATCCCTGGAGTGTCGGGGCAGAGAGGTGGGTGGTCACTGCCGCATGGCCGAGGATCAGGTGAGGGCAGCTTCTTTATTCCATTCCCTAGACCAAATCAAGTAGTTAACCTTTGCAGTGCAAGGGTAGCCTCACTGCAAGGGTTAACATTTGAAAATCCTGGAGATCCGTCCAGGGGTGCATAATTTGTATCGCCTAACGCCTGGGACATCAAGTTGTTTATGGGGACCCAGGACCACGGCAAATGACATAAGGATGGGGAGCAGGCGGGAGAACGTCCGTTCTCCGATTTGCTATGTGTGATCAATGAGAAAGGAGCGCTGTACACACCACTTCCTGTCTGAGATGTCACAAGCCGGGCTGTACAGGAGATCCAGCACAGTGCTGTGCTCCATCTTATGTATTGGAGGGCAGGCTCCATAAAGAGAACCTGTCACCTCCAAATGCTGGTGGAAAATTAAATTACCTGCTCAAATCTGGCCCCCTTTCCCCTCCTCTGCACTTACCTTTTAGCGAATGGTCCTTCCCCCTCCGCCAGTACAGGTGTACTATCCATACCCCGTACTGCCATCCTGCGCTATAGATTTTGAATTTCGCTTACAAACTGCAAGCACTCATTTGTCAATACAGTCACCTGACCACCCTGACCAATGAGAAGCGCTTCTTCACATAGTTAAATACAATTTTGGTTCAAATTATTTTTTGTATCACGACAAGTAGATTGCAAACAGCAAAAAGTTTTCCCAGCACACTCGCCAGCCGGCATGCAAAAAAACGTGTCTCACCTCTAAGGTTAAAAACAGAGGTTTAGATACACGTCTTTTGCAGAAAATGTGAAAGCCGCGTCAAGGCACCTCTAAATAGTGCGGTCCTAACTCTAAACTATGAGAGTCTCCATCTTGGAGCACATGGGGCAAAAGATCAAATTGGGTGCAGGTTTGTCAGGAGTAAGCCCAACCTCCCTTAATCCCTTTTCTGTGTTCAATATTAAAAGTAATCACATTGTGATCACTATTACCCAATGACTCCCCAATTACAATATCCTCAATTAACTCTGCATTATTAAATTGCATTATTAAAGGCACAGGAACACACAAGGGATCCCGCATATCACAAGGCATCTAAACCTCTGTTTTTAACTTTAACGGTGAGACAGGTTTTTTTGCATGCTTGCTTGTGAGTGTGCTGGGAAAACTTTTTGCTGTTTGTATTGTATTAGGCCATTCCATGTGCACCTTGCTGTAACAAATTGATGAGTGAGTTTGCCATTTGTTTTGCACGACAAGTAGATTGGGCCCCCACTTTAGTCCTTGGACAAGTAGTTTTTTTTTTTAAATGTCCACACCCCTGCGGTCTTTGCGGGGATGGGATACTGCAAGGGTAGTTTTTGTGTAATATGTGGAGTTCAGCTTTAAAAACAGTAATTAAACTGGCCATACATGGCTCAAACTTCAGTCTCATCTATTCGGTGGCCCTGTTTGCATCACCTGGCTCAACAAACTTTGATTTTAAAATTGATGCAGCCAGAGGGAAATGTGTGCATCTGACAGAATGCCTGAACATACAGAATGTGTAGATTGTGCCCTGCTGCTATTTCAAGGGTTTTGCTTTTTTTGTATCCTTACCTGTTTTTAATTCTGTTTTGGTTTGGCTTGAAGTAGAACTTGATATAGTAGGAAAGCTGGTAAAAAAAATATTATGATTACTTCAGTTTTATTTCACTCAGCACTGTTTACTTTGTGTTTCTGGAGATCAGTTAAAAAATATATATAGACCTAAAAATAAGGTTGAAGATTTTTTATTATTTAGGTGTCATGACTTGCTTTGGTTGCTGTCTGAAATATCTTGTTTTTTATATGGATAATATTTCACTTTTAGTCATTTTAATTTGATTAAAGGAGAACTATGGCGTTAGGGCTTTTCCCCATAGTTCTCCGGGTAACGGGAGGACACAAACTAGCGTCCTCCCATCACCCTAGGCTCAGTATACCGCCAGCTACAGCTCGCGGTATACTGAGACGCCGCAGCTGAAGCGAATCCCAAAAATTATGTCTGGATCCGCCCAGCTGCGTGAGTGACAGCTGGCTCTGCCTATCTAGAGGCAGAGCCAGCTGTACACGCCCCCTCCCCCGTCCGTTCCACCAGTCAGCGCTGGCAGATCGGAGCGGGGAGAGGGGAATCCAGCCCCTCCCCTGTCACGGCAGAGTGCCGTGACAGGATCGAGAAGTGAGCGAAACCCGGTATGTGTTCGCTTACTTCCCGATTTACTGAGCTGACCTGTGACAGTCTCATTGTCACAGGTCGGCTAGAACTATGAGGTGAGTGAAAAGCACTCACCTCATAGTTCTCCTTTAATGTCAAATTTGATTGACATTAAAAAGTCCACAGGACCACACATCTTAAATAGGTGTGCATGCTTCATTCTCAGATGCCGCACTTCCAGGGCATCTCCCTATGTAAAGGATCCCCACAGGCGTCTTGTAATGAATGCATGCGTAGTGTCCCTAAATAAGACGCTGTAAGTATCTATGCGAGTTCCCATGCTCTGTAGCATCCTAGAGGCTCCACCTGAATACCAGGCAGTTCTGACCTGACACTTTTGTGCTCTCAAAATTTGGTCAAAGCTTAGCCTGGCAGAATGGCTTGGCAGTCAGTCGTAATAAGGCTGACAGGTATTTCCAGGCTCCTGTAGCAGGATGCACTCTGCACCTAATTGCTTTAACCCCTTCCCGACCGATGACAGGATTATCCCGTCACGATCGTTCAGTTCGTTAATGAACAGTCTGTTAATCCCATAATGCGGTACAATGAGTGCTGGTCCATGAAGGGACCAGCACTCATTGAGTTATTGCTGTTGATGGGGTCCGAGGCAGACCCTCAACAGTAGATTAGGTGGTCACAGTCCTGTGATCACAGCGAGAGGTGATCATTGTGATCACAGAGCCGTGACAGTCACAGAGCTGGTACCAGCCTACTCTGTTTTGAATCTGCTAGCCAGCTGTGTGTTACAAAAGTGATACAAAGTATTTATGAGGCGAATACTGTATTCTAGATAGAGGTACTAAGTATCAAAGCCCCTGTAAATAAAAAAAAATAAAAAAAAACCCCTTAGTGCCCCCTAGTTAAAAAAAAGAAAATCTAAAAATAAAGTTTTTACATTGTTTTTGAAAAAAGTAAAAAAATAATAAAAAAGTAAAATAAATAAGTTTATAAAAAAAAATATATAGTGTGGAGGAGGCTTTTAAAGTTAGGAGACAAACATACCACATTCTAAAATTGTTCCACACTGGAATTGTATTTCAATTGTATTTTGTGACCTATAACTCCCAAAATAAACTGAAATCCCAGACATATGAAATACCCTATACATCAGGACAAATAAAATAATGTATTATGAATTACTTTCAGTTAGCTACACATTATTATTGCCAAAACTGAAAATTTTTTTGTTTTTTTTACATTTCTTTTATAAAACAAAAATAAGAATTTATATATACTTATGCCACATCATATGAAAGCCCATTTTGTCCTTTAAAAAACAGTATATAGTACATGTGCAATGAATGAGGAAGATGGAAATTATGGTTAAACGAACACACAAAAACATTTTCTGAAGCTGTGTCAGTAAGGAGTTAATGTATCATACTGGAATTGCTTTATGCAAGAGGGACATTCCTGGGTGCATAAAATACACCCCAAATAATAATGTGTGCATATGAAAGGAGCATTTTGAAGCCAAATCATCTGATTGTCATTTTATGTCTGTGGAGGAATTTAGAGTACAAGGCTGGACCTCCCGGAAGGTACACCTAAATGCAGCTCAACTTTAACCCAACAATCCAAATGTGTGGATGACATGGAAAACATCAGATACATTTGGATTTATTCATGGTAGACATTTTACCAATGCTGTGCGTATTGTGATTGTTGTATTTATCATTTGTTGTATATGGTAGATGTTAATGGACACACAAATGAAGTGAATTTTGTATGTCTGTGTGTAAAATAATGACATCTCTAATATTTTTTTCAGGATTACATAGACTGAACGGTGAGTGGGGGCTGGGGTTATAATGCCCCATGGTAACAGTCCCCAGGATACGCAGTCTACGCCTCAGACACCTAAAAACAGCTCAGGGAATGATGGCGAGCAGCAAAGACCTCAGAAAGCCACACCCCAATCTCCAGCACAATCCTTTACACCAGCAGCCAGTTCTGCTGGACCCCAATCACCCAGCTACCAGATACAGCAACTCATAATGAGTCGTAATCCAGTTGCCGGTCAGAATGTGAACATTACATTACAGAATGTTGGGCAAGTGGTGGCTGGTAACCAGCAGATAACTCTGACTCCACTACCGATAGCAAGTCCAGCCTCTCCTGGGTTCCAGTTCAGTTCCCAGCCAAGGAGGTTTGAACATGGATCTCCTTCCTATATTCAGGTCACTTCTCCAATGTCTCAGCAAGTCCAGACACACAGCCCTACACAGCCCAATGCTGTGCCAATCCAAGCAATACAAGGTGTTCGAACAGCAACCGCAGGAGCTAACTTGGGAATGTGTAGCCAGAGTCCCACTCATGGATTTGTAGATGCCAGTTTGTTTGTCAGACAGCTCAGCCTTGGTGCTTCTGGCACTGGGCACTTTGTCTTTCAGGAGGGCTCTGGCATTACTCAGATAAGCCCAGGAACACAAGTGCATCTACCTTCTAGTACCTCCACACCAGTTCAGAGCCGTACTTTGTTGCATTCCAATTCACAGACTGCTGGCACCGTTCACCAGTTTGGTTCACAGAATGCTGTCGCAACAGGAACCGGTGTACAAACCTTGGCAACTCCAAGCCACATAACAGCTACCAATATACCAACACAAATAAACAGTATTATACAAGGACAATTCATTCAGCAGCCACAGGTTATCCATGGCCAGCAGCTGGGAAGGACCATCAGCTTTGACAGGACTTCTGGAGGATTGATAGCGGGTGTTGCGGGGACACCGACATTTGGTGTATCATCACAACAAACTCCAACAAGCCCATCACGGGCTTCTGCTCCTCAGGGACTCTCTAGTCTTCCTCTTACTCCAACAATGAGCAGTACCTTTAAGAAACAAACTAAAAAGCTTGAAGAGATCCCACCTGCCAATACTGAAGATGCTCGCTTGAGAAAACAGTGTTTGGACCATCACTACAAAAATATAATGCTCCACAAGGAAAACTTTAAGGAGTATCTGATTGAATTATTCTTTCTGCATCAGTGTCAAGGAAACATGATGGATTACATGGCATTCAGAAAGAAGCCTCCCATATCCCTGCAACACTTTCTAAAACAAAATGATTTGGATCTAGAATTGGAAGAAGAAGAATTGCAAACAAATTCTGTGGCCATTGCGATTCCGGTAAGTTGGCGTACTTTGTTCCATGGTTAATAGTGGAGTGACGTTGCAATTAAAGTGTAAATACTAATCATGAACTTTTGTGTGTTCCATTAGTCTAGAAATGTACCCTTTAAAAGGATTTTGTAATATCTCACTGTGCGAAATTCGCGTAGTGTATGGCCGGCTTAAGTTAAAAAACCCCCCCCAGAAAACGCAGTCCTATTTAACCCCTCTAACCTTTAGTTCACCTTATTTAACCCCTTCCTTCCCCTCATATCTATAGTTTTCTGGTAATTGTTTTTTATTTCTATGTTTTTTTAATGATTATTGTTCTTTTTTTTTAAAATCATTTTTTATTTTTTTTATGTGTCACAAAAAACCCCCCCCCCCCCCC